TAAGTCGATTATTTACAGTTTTGCATACCTTCATTTTTTTACCTTTTCGCAAAAAGGCGCAATTACAAATTTGCTAATATTTGTTATTTATTAACTCAATACAGTTTTATCTTTTAGATTTAGTCAGAAAATTATTTTTTTTGTGCACGGATACTGATTTTGGTGTGTTTTAACAATTGAATTGTGTATTTTTATCGGTTTAATATTAATTTGAGAAACATTTGCGCAATTATCGCAGGGCCTACAAATTTAGTATCACCATCTTTTTATTCTACCGGGCCTGCGCTTTCAGAAAATATATGGTTTGGGGGGTGTTTTACAAACGCTAGCAACGCAGCAGTTGAAAATCAAACCAATAGGAAAAAATTGCAGAAAATTCAAAAATGGCTTGGCCAGCTGATTAGAAAAATGTTCCGGAGGGCTTGGCAGCGAAAGGGTTAAACATTTCAGCTCTTCATCTCATTCACTAAGCTAAGGGACAATTCCCTTGCAGAGTGCAAATTTCCTTGCAAAGTGAACAGTCTACCTTTAGTAAATCAATCACGATAGATAGATAGATAGATAGATAGATAGATAGATAGATAGATAGATAGATAGATAGATAGAACAGACTATCATTATTGTGTTTTTGTGAACAATACTAGTGCATTGCTTTGTATGGCAATTTCCGGTAAAGGTTTATTACCTCTCATTGATTGTCTGATTGCATACAGAACATTCTGAATGATATGGGTTTATTTATCTGTCTGACTACAGGCTTGCCTTGTGTCTTCAATTTGTTTGTAACACACTGTGATTTATAAATAAAACTACAAGAGATGGGACACTGATACTACTGCCAGAAGTTCACCGCATTTGATTTTGCACTTAAATCTCAGATGTTTCTACATCCCAAGCCGCTTGGAAACGCAACTTTAATAAATCTGTCAACATAAATATAACCTGTCGTGGAAAAGGTTGTGTGGTTTTCTTTTCCCTTCATTTTCTCTGAACTGAATAGTGGAGTATAATCAATTGATTCCTGACAGAATGAAGCCAAGCAAACAAATACACAGCGCTGAGTTTTAGCAGCCTGATGAAAGTTCTGTTTACAGTACAATTCTTTGGTCCTTGATCTATATCACTTGCTGAATAGAGCCAAATGCAAGTCAATGACAAGAAAGAAGAGATCAACCTAAAAAAGTTCTAGCAGCATAATATTTTTTTTTTTACTATAATTTGTGACTCTGCTTAGTATCAACTTACAAAAGACGTGCGACCGTACAGTAGAAACGGTCGCACGTCTTAGTTCACACTGCTCGATTCTCGTACAATCGCGGGATTTCGCCCGATTCTCCGATTATTATAATACATAAATAGGTAGAATGATAGATTATGTCTGGTAAAGTGATCCAGGTGAACATTCAAGAGGAAGCTATAAAGTATTGCCAGCTATATACTTGGGTCGATCTTAAACATCTACCTGTAATAAGTAATTTTTTAACAGTCACACTTTTTTGCTGTTCCTTTTCTCATTATTAAATGTCATCTATAGATTTGTAAATAAGGGAGTATGATTTTTATCTGCTGCTTAATGATGAAATAAGCTTGGTTGACCTCATGGAAAGTCTTAAGGTGCCCATACACTGCTCGATTCTCGTACGAGAATCGGGCGAAATCCCGCGATTGTACGAGAATCGAGCAGTGTGAACTAAGACGTGCGACCGTTTCTACTGTACGGTCGCACGTCTTTTGTCGAGCCAACATGTTCGAAAACCCGCTGAGAATCGTACGATTCTCGGCGGGTTTCTAGCCTGCTCGCCCGATAGCTGCGGAATGGGCCAGTGTGCGCACGCGCACACTGCCCGTTCTGCATTGCCGTCACCGGAAGCCCGCCCCTCAGCGGGGCGAGCTTTCGATGATCGCAAGTACGATCTGCCCGTCCAAGTTGGGCAGATCGTACAGGCTTTCAAGAAGCATACGACCATCGCAAGACAAAAGTCTTGCGATGGTCGTAAGGTGTATGGGCACCTTTATGCTTTCAGTCAAGTCACACAGTGAAAGGAACAGTAAATACGATTCATTCATTATGGTCAATTCAGCTGTATGAGTTTATTTTAGCTTTGTTCCTTGTTTTAACTCATTGGTTACTTGCTCAATAAAATGTTCGATTCACACACAGAAATACCACATAATAAAGGACTCTATTCTCTGCTCTACATAAAATAAACACATAAAAAATATGACATATCTATGGAGTAAAGCAGAAACTAGAATATACCGTATTTTTCGCTCCATAAGACGCACTTTTTTCCCCCCAAAAGGAGGGGGAAAATGTGCCTGCGTCTTATGGAGCGAATCCCGACGCCCGAGACATGCAGTTTCGGGCGCCGGGCGAGTAGTAGGAGCCACTGCTCGTTTAATACGAGTGATCTAATGAGATCACTCGTATTAAAGCCGAGCAGCGGCGGCGGCGATCAAGTTCAGCAGCAGGAGCCACTGCTCGTTCAATACGAGTGATCTAATGAGATCACTCGTATTAAAACCGAGCAGCGGCGACGATCGAGATCACCATAGAGCAGACGAAGAACGGACTTTCTTCGTCTGCTCTGTGTGATCACTGAGACCGTGGCGCTGTGTCTCAGCGGTCACTAACTGCAGCTTCTGTCACAGCTTATGTCATAGAAGCTGTGTCAGAAGCTACAGTCTGTCGAGTGCTCCATAAGGCGCGCCGGACCTCCCTGCGTCCTATGGTCCGGTGCGTCTTATGGACCGCAAAATACGGTATATATATATATATATATATATATATATATATAGATATATAGATACATACATACACACACACTTTATATATATTTTCTATAGTTATATTAAAGTAGAACTCTTGGCAAATACAACTTTAACCCTTGGGGGTTAAGTACTCATTTTATCCATGGACCTAAAATAACCGAGCTATGCTCACAGACCCCAATTGGCTGTTAGACCAGTCCCTTCAGCCTCTCTTCTCCAGCGATGGAACGTCCCCCTGTGTCCTCATGTCCAATACACTTAGACCGCTGGAGCGAACGGTGGCGAGGCTGAAGTTACTGGTCTAGCAGCCAGCTGGGATCATGGTTCGAGTGAGTAAAACTCATTTTAGCTTCCTAGACAAAAAGGAGCACTTATTATTATTATTATTATTCAGGATTTATAAGGCGCCAACAGTTTGTGCAGCACTTTACAATATAAGAAAGACATTACAATCACAATACAATTCAAGACAAGATGGTAAGGAGGGCCTACAATCTAAAAGGGAGGGACACTTAGCCCTTGTAGTGCTAAGAATTAGATTAATTGGCTTAGGATAAATAATGTTTGTGTAATTGAAGTCAAACATTGTAATTAGAAAGTACAGGTATAAAGAACACCTGTACCCCCTTGAACCTCTCCAAGATGGTGCCTGGGTTCTGTCCAGTATGGTGGGTGGTTGCATCATTAAGATGTGCAGTAATGTACTGTATACCCGTAGTTGCCATATTGTCTTCTCAACCTCTACACATGCACTATGCATCATCTGGAATTATTTTTGTATCAAAATGCATACTGAACAGAAATGAGTGGTAAAATATGTTTAAAGTGCGTTATAAAAAAATTCCAAAATGAAGGTAGGAAATTAGTTCATGAAAAAAAGGAATGTAACTTCTGTAAAAAAAAATTCTTTATCTGTAAAATTAACTTAAAACACGCATCAATATACTTAGAAATGAAGTACAAGTACACCTGAATGCATTAAAACTGCAAGGAAATGTAATGCGATAAAACACTCTTTTTAGCTAACCTGAGTAGTAGCTACTGGTCCACTTTAACAATACTAAAGGGATAATGCTGTATATGTGGTAATAATGACACCATGTTTTTCCCTTTTTATACTCATTGGTTACTTGACATTAAAACAAAAGCATAACTAAAAAGAAAAAAAGGAAAATCTATACAGATTCTCATCATAATTCTTAAATGATTAAAAAAAGTCTTATGACTGATTGTCAAAAACATCAAAACAGTTTTTTTTTAAATGCACGTAAAAATTATTTGAGTGTATTTTGCAGCATCAAAACTGCCCTTAAACAAATTAAGATATGAGATTTTAATACAGCTGGATTTCAAAATCTATTTTGCACAAAGCAATTTCACATTAAATTTTAGGCGGTATTGTTAAGGGGAAATAAATGAGACAAAGGAACCTGTGGGA